GATTAAATCCCTTTGTGCCGACGTCATCAGCCACTTAGCAATTACTGCCGCCGAGACCCCCGGGATCACCCGGATGCCCTGCAGATCTTCATTAAGTGGGGAGGACAAAGAAGCAAGGGGAAATCAGCTGCGATTTTGCCTTGCAATGATGCTGTTCGTTTCATCACTCATTTGTACTTCCATCAGAGCATAGTAAAACCGTGCCTTCTTCCCTGTAAATGTTTCCACAGTTTGCCCTTCCACCCGAGACTGGGAGATTAGGCGAGTTTTCAGTCCTTCTGGAATAATTTTGGCCACTTTCTTCATAATAATATTGCCTGTAAGTGGTGCGTCTGCTGCTGTTGTAGCCAATTCCAGCGATCCATTATTCGTCTGAGACGCAAGGACCATCATTCCCTTGTCAGAATTAGCACACAATAGGGGGATCAGGATTTTTGGGATGTCCTTATCCTCCCGCCCTAAGGTAGGAAGGGGTTGTGCTTCCTTCAATGCAATGTAATGACCCACTTTCCTATTCCCCGAGTCTCTGTTAATTAAAGACTCCCTGCTAGATTCCGAATCTGACTCATAAATGTAACATTTGCCATCTCCTCCATCTCTACTATCCTCCACAACGTCCAAGGTTTTGGATCTTTTGAAGGGCGAGTGCGAACTCCTTTTATTCTTTGCTTTGCCCTTGCTGATAACGGCGTCTACCGCCTGAACCAGGGCATTACGTTCCACACTCCTTCTGCCGTTTTGTTCCTCTTCTTCTTTCGCATCCCCGTTTACCGCGTTCTTTTGAGTGGGGGTGTGTTCCGTTCCCTTACCTGAACCAGGGGTTAATCTTCCTCCCGATCCCGAGTGATGCATCGAGGCCGAGTTGTGACTGGTACCCGACCCTTGAGACTTTTGAAGGCTCTCCATCGAGTTACTGCTCCGTGACTTCACCGGGTCATTCTTCTTTGATCCTTTTTGACTTCCTGAACCGTGGTGAGAAGAAGACCGGGAGGTTGGATTACCCTTCTTAACAGAAGGGCCTGGTTTACCTTCCGGGCTCTTATGATTCACTGGTTGTTTTCGAGYAGKAAATCGTCTGAAACCGGTARCCGGCGGATCCTCCCCTAGCGGTACAAAAGATGAAAAGGGTGGGTCCGGCGGATACACTTTCAGCCTCGTTTGTGYCRTAAAGGGATCAGGGTCTTCATAAGCCGGACAGCAGRCGTCCTTTTTCGTATGATAATTARTACGACATGTGGCACACCATGGCGTAGCTGCCGAAATAACCTCGAAGTAATATGTCCCCTAACGAGGAATGCCCACCAGGAGTCGAGGTTTAACTAATTTACGGGCATTAAATTCCAGGTCAAAGCGGACAGTACCGAGCTCAGGTTCCTCTTCATATTCCTCAAACGGGTGTACTTTTAGCACTGCGCCAAAGGATTTCTCTACCGCTGTCTGAAGAGCTGCAAAAAGCTGAAAGGGCACTCTAGGACATCGAATCCAGCAAACTTTAGAGTCAGCCTCTTTGAACTCTTTCATCTCAAGCAGCGTCATCTAGGGCAGAAAAGTGAGTTTGTGCGTCTTGACCGTCAAATCCAAGAAGTCTTCCTTCTTCGTTTTGAGCCATTCAATAACCGTTGACTGTGACGAGACGAATGAGGCCAAGTTTTTGCCTTCATTCTGGTACTGGCCCCGTTTCACAGAATCAGGAATCAGCCCAGCGTCATACCAAGAATCCTCATATAATCTTACAAGTTTCTTCTTGGTGTCATTCGATAAGATCGAGGCTCTTCCCTGAAACAGGATGGTGATTGCATGCTCACGTAACCATGTTAGGTTCAATTCTGAAAAATTCTCATTCAGATCAAATCGAGCAAAATCATCCCCTAACTCAGCCACTCCGATATCCAGACCGGAGGGTAAGATGCCATCCCTGAAACACGCCTCAAATAGTGAGTTAATTTGCTCTTTTTCTTCTCTCRAATAGACTTTGGCTGGGGCCGCCATACTGATAATAGCACGTTAGACAACAAAGAGAATGACCTTCCACTTTAACTTACTTAGRTTAGAGGCCACTATTACTGGAATAAGTAACCACCACTATTCCACCACCACAAAAACGGGGACGGGGACAGGATCGTTATACCTCCAGTTTTCCTCAACGATSCATAGCACCTTGGCTTGGGTYGTCGCTTACAACCGAGTTACCTTCGAAGGGCGAGAAACTCCGGCTCCTCCGGCGTTAACCTTTTGCCAGTTGCCCTCGAAACGTCTTCCTTCAAAAGGTCCCAGAGGATTCCTACGGGCCGCTCATGGTCGGGTTCCACGCAGCCTGTAAGGCTGTTTGCGCTTCAGTGTGAAGGCGGCGTACCCAACCCTAACCTCCATAGCTTCGCTACGGGGTCGAGCGGCAGCTGCGGTACCCTTGAGAATACCGAAAATGAAACCTTGGTACCGCAGGTGACATCCGCAGGGAACCGCGCGTTAGCGCTGTCCAAGCGGCGCCCGTTTCTTTGGACCATATTCACGTGCCAGTGGCGAGAGTCGGCTTTTCCTTTTCCTTTTGCGTCCCTAACTTTCCCCTTTTTTTGGCTGGCCAAGTGCCCAAGGCAACAATACAGTGTAACAGGAAAGCACCAGATTCAGGGGGCCACAAGGTCTCACGCTGCACCCAGCTACCGGTAGCCGAGCCTGTCCCCTGCGAAAAGGTCGTGAAGGCAGCTTACCAGGCCGGCAATCGACGGTAGTTTACCAGCCTGCCACTGCCAATGACCGAAAGAGTGAACGACGGAGCGTCGATTGCCCGACGGATCTGCCGATCGTGGCGGTCGACGGAACGGAACCGAGGGCAGCTCACCAGCGCGCCAATCAAGCGGACGAGTGAACGACGGAGCCTGCCTACATACAGCAGACTGCACGGCGGATCCGTACCAGGCCGCATTGGAGCTATATTAATTTCTGCCGGAAAAAAATCTTCTTTTCCCCTCTTTTTTGCGTTATTGACGACCAGATTCATTAGAAATAGAAAGCACGAGCCTGGCCGTAAAAGGCCCGACCGATTCGTCCAAACGTAGCCCCAGACATAGCATCATCGGCAGAAAGGAAACCTTTTTTTTGGGTGGGTTGGGGGGGGTTGGCAGGCAGAAAGGAAACATATAGTCGTCAATAACGGGAAAAAGAGATGGAAAAAGAAAGAAGATTTGTTTTTGGGTTCGGCAGGCAGAAAGGAAACATATACGCCGCCAATGACGGGAAAAAGAGAGGGAAAGAAAAAAGAAAAAAGAGACGGTTGCTCACAGAGGCAGCGGCATTCTCGTCGTTAGAGGCAGCGGCATTCTCGTCGTTGTTGTTGAATGTCGAAATCGACGGTGTACCAACCAGCGGGCTTAGCTCAGTTGTGGACACCGCTGAGCGGTTGAAATACAGACTCAAGCTCGAATCAATATACCTTCACATGAGGAGACCGGGGGCCAAGTCCCACTTACGCTGATCCTTGATTTATGGTCGTTGATCTTCCGAATCTGCGGTCAAAAATCGACCATTCGAGTAAGTGGGACTTGGCCTCGGGCCCAAGTCCCACTAGGAGGCCAAGTCCCACTAGCAGCATTGAGTTTCCTCAGCGCCTGAATCTGGAAGCGTTTGAGGAGATGTGCGGTTGAGGAAACTCAACACGATTTCTGCACATCTCGACAAACGCGTCCAGAACCAGGCGCTAAGGAAACTCAATCCTGCCAACCGCACATCTCCACAAACACTTCCAGATTCAGGCGCTGAGGAAACTCACTCAATGCTGCTACCGTAGTGGGACTTGGCCCCCGCCGATCAGTTCAATGATGATGATACTAAGGGTCAGGTCCCACTACCCTGGATTATTCATTTTTTCACCCTCGATTACGACGATTAACGGTCAGACATGAACAATAGGGGCTACTAGTGGGATCTTGCCCTAAAGGCAGTCGCCCTTTCGAAAAAAAATAAAATAAAAAAATTCGACGTTTTCTCTTTTTTTTTTTTTTTCCTTTCCTTTTTTTCTTACGGCGTGTTCTAACGACTGTGCCATTCAAAGGGCGCCGCTACACTACGAAAATCGAAGCAAAACCGCGCGCTGCACAAGACCAACGAACGAAGGAAAATCAGCAGCGCGCGATGTGTAGCAATAACGTCGACCATCGCGACGCGTCGTTATTGTTATTTATATGGTAGATCATGCCTGCATTTCGGTGCGATCTTTTTCTCTTTCGTCACAAGTTGTTGCATTCTGGTAATGCAGCGGAGGGCGAGTAGCAAAATCTACCGCAGGGATAAAAATCTTTTATCTCTGATACGTTTGTGCTCCGATATTCATTCAGCGTTCCAGTTCTGCCATCGCTTCATGCTACGGACTGTCATAAAATCTCTCTCTCTCTCTCTCTCTCTCTCTCTCTCTCTCTCTCTCTCTCTCTCTCTCTCTCTAACCGCGACTGTGCTAGTCGCATGCCATGGACAGGACGTGTATTCCGAGTCTGTGAAAGTAAAGCCTCGCACGTGTTGTCCAATATTGCAACTCTCTCTCTCTCTCTCTCTCTCTCTCTCTCTCTCTCTCTCTCTCTCTTTCTCTCTCTCTCTCTCTCTCTCTCTCTCTCTCTCTCTCTCTTCCCTCTCTATCTCTGTGGATAGTTGGTGAGGAATCGGAGATTGTTTGGAGGCCGGAGGAACAAGCCCCTTGCTGTTGTAAGGGGGTGGAAGTCATCTCCGTATCTCCACATCTTCACTCTCCATTTTGAGTCTGCCTTTGTGTGTCTGAGTTTCATTTTGAGTCTGCCTTTTTGTGTGTCTGAGGTTCTAGCTGAGTGAGGGGGTGGAAACCAGCTCCATATCGCCACATCTTTATATATTTCATTCTGTGTTCGCCTGCGCACTTGGCTGTTCTCCTTCTCTCGTTTTTGCGAGTTGTTCACCGCTACCGAAGACTGTAGACCGTCTGTACTTCTCTTAGCTGATGTGATCCGACGGAGGCGAGAGGCGCCGTGCCGGCAGGGTCGGAGTGTGTGTTCGATCGAGCAGTCACGGCTCTGTTGCATGCACGTGCATCGTTGAAAAAAACCGAAGAAAGACCTTTGTCTGAGCGAGGAGAACAAGGTGAGAGTCCAGTCGATCTCTTTGAGTTGCCGTTCGATAGATTGCTCTTTGTTAGCTTGTGGTAGTAGTGCCAAGCGGCTTTGTCTGAGCGGGCTTTGAGTGCCTTATGTCTGTGAACTAGGGAGCCGTGAGGGGTGGTTGTTTGTGCGGGGGGGGGTTGGGCGTTTGGCCTTCGCGTGCCTTTTGTCTGTGAACTTGGGAGTCGTGACGGATTATTTGTGAACTTGGGAGTCGTGACGGATTATTTGTGGGGTTGGGGGGTTTCCATTTTCAGGATAAGGGGTTGGGGGGGGGTTCCAGTTTCAGGATGTGGGGTTGGGGTTGGGGCGTTTCGGAACGGTGGAGTTAAGGAAGAGGACTGGGCCTTGAACGGATTCAAGATGGCAGTAGCTTCTCTCTATAACGAGTTTTGTGCCTCTTCTTCTTCTGCCTTCTTCTGGTGTCCTCCGTTCTTCCACTCCTGCCTTTCTTACTCTTCCTCCTTGCTGCTTGTTGAGAGATGTCACCCCCAAGCGAATCGCAGACCAACACGGGAATTGAGGACAGGACTTCTGTGTGCGTAATAGTGTAGATGCCGTCACGCCATAGCTTCGGCTTATTACGAATTCATCTATGCCTTCCTGTGCTTCACGATCTTACTCCAGGATCTCCCTTTCATCCTCTTTCCTCCTTGCTGGTGGCCTCGAAGATCTTTCCGATCGCTTCGTCGGTGCCTTCTCCTCTCTATTCAGTCTGCTTAGGTGCTCTTTTTTTTTTTTTTTTTTTTTTTTCCGAGTGCTTTGTTGTCGAAGACTTGTCTGGGAGCAGTATGCCACGTCTCGCAACGGTGCTCTCCTCGATTTTTTATTTTTTATTTTTTATTTTGGTACGGACACAATCACAGATGGAGAGAGGTAGAGAGAGGGAGGTGGCACGTCATCGCATGACACTTTTCCTGATCACCTTTTTTTTCCCGCCTTTTAGTTCGTGGCTATTGTATTCCTCCTCGAGGGGGCAGAGAGAGAGAGAGAGAGAGCGAGAGAGAGAGAGATGTGAAGGCGAAAAGAAGCTCAGCGGGGAAAGAAGGTGATGAAGACACTGAAACGATAGCAAGAGTGACCACGTCAGCGCTAGTGCTATGGCTTCACACCATCACATCTGCTTTTTTGTTTTCAATCGAAGGACAAAAGACGGAATTTCAACCGACTATTTGTTTGTCGGACTTCCACGGGAGCATCAGGAGGCTGACTCGTCGACATTCACGCAATTCGCCTACCAATGCTGCAAAAGCCATAGGGCCTCGCCGCACTAGTCTCGACATGCACAAAAGACAAAAATCATGGGGTTGTATCTTTCCATAATTTAGCGGAAGATTCACTCTCGTTTTGGACATTTCGAGAGTAGTGCAGCGAGGCCCATAATCGACCTTTATCCGTGATCGGCGGAGAGGATACTATATGTAGATGGTGTGAAGCCAGCCGACTATATTGTTAACGCATTGTAATACTTACGCGCAATTTCTTTTTTTCTTTTGCGAGCATGATTGCACGCTGAGAGCTTATTTGCAATGTCAGTATTTGGGTGTGAAGAGCAATCGGCCATTGCTTGGCCTCTTTTCTTCTGAGGCATGAGGCAAGCATACCTCGATTAAAAAAAAAAAAAAAAAAAAAAAAACCCTCAAGACAATGTGGGTGTCATGCTGTGGATCTAAAGTCTGCACGCACGGGGTCTGATTACGGGGTCTGATCTACTCCGTA